ATCTAGTTTAAATCCTGACTACAAGGTTTCGAATCTCTGTTTTAATCGACTTATGTTGTATGAATTGATGCTTCATTTCTTTCCTTTATTTCTGAGAAATCATAGTAGGAAAAGGAAACTCATTGCACCCTGTCCCAAAACAAGATTTTCAAGTTGCAAATGGCCTCGTCACTGGAATAGAAGGTAAAGCAATGAGTCTGAGAAAGCTCAAACTATATTGTTTAGAGAGTGGAAGTTAATGCCACTCTCCACTTCTCACCCCCAAAGGGGAAGCCACAGAAAAATGGAACACTTACCTACAGGCACTGGCCTAAGCCTTTCTTTGTCCTTTGCTTTCCCCTGCCTTTTAGCTATGTCTCTACTTGGGCTTTGTAGCTTTATATTGCAGGAGCATAGTGGGGGTCAGGCCTGGAACCAAGTCCCTTACTTTCTTGCATAGGAGACATTTCACAATAAAGTGTATTACTTAACAATTCATAAGGAGAATTTAAAAGTCATTATTTGGATGATGCCCAGTTAATTATATACTTTTCCAATTATTCCCTACTAGTAAATTGGTGGGTTATTAGGAGGCATTTTCACTTTTCAAGCCACTGAAAGCCTATTTGTTTTATTATAACTTGTTAGAAAGAGACCCAGTTTTTACAATAATCACAAGTCATTTAGTTCTTTAGCCTACAACACTAAACTGCCTTTTGAGCTGAAGGATTATAGCACTCATTACACATCAGACTTGCTCCTGGGTAACATACAATATATGCAAAGTATGCACCATAAATATATGTAAAGAATAAAACTTTATTTTAAAAAAGCACAAAATGCGCCTTCTAGGTGCACTAGACATGGAGTAGTGACACTCGAGGATCCACACTGTGTCTACTATAGGACTCACAAAGATAATATCAATAAAACAAAAATAATTATTAGGCCGATTTTTTATCCAAAGTAATCAGGGAATGATGACAATTCAAAATTGAATAATGATGGAATATTTCCAGAAACATTTTATAAATTGATCACCTCACGGCAAGCATTATCTTCAGTTCGTTCTTAACAATAATCTCAAAATCAGTACTAAGGTGAACTATTAACATCTGTAAAAGAGTTATTTAGCTGTAACACAGATAACCATGAAGGTTCCCTTTAAAAATATCAGCTCAGTTAATTTTGGGCCAACATTATATCACTTACTATACACAGGCTTGCTGATAAAGTCTTAAAATCATACCAAAAAAAGCATGGTACAAAAACTGCAATGTGTTTTCCATTTCACAAATAAGAAAATAAAGAGTTAGGGTAAAGTGATGTGCCCCGCTATAGTAACTGAAATGGTTAAAAATGTAGACATTCATATTCTGAATTAAAAGTTCACTATTAGGATATTGATTTCCATTGATTGTTGAAAAAAGTATTAAGTATAAAGTATAAATATAAGTAAATTAAGTATTAAGTAAAAAGTATAAGATTATTTAAACCTGGTTTTTAAAATAAAAAAGAATTTAAACATATACTATTACTGGTGATACATTTTCTTTTCTTAATATCTGCAAAAGTTTTCCCCAAAATATGGCCTATTGTATTGATGCCAACTTCTTTCCAAGAACTTACATAAATATTTTAAATAAATAAATATTAAAACCTGTTGCTTTTATGAAATAACCCTTAAAACATATGTCATATAACTTTCCCAAATCTACCTCTGTATTGTGATAAAATGCAAAGAGTTAATAAGAAAACCTCAGGAAGATTACAAATAATCTTCAATTTAACATTTTTTAAAATCTAGAATGCTATGAAACTAGCTGAAATATGATATACTGGGTCTATCTATGCTTATAACATGGCTATTCACAGATGTTATTTTGTTTTTGTGGAGCCAAATTAGATCAGTTTTGAAGGGACTTTATAAACATTTTAAATTGCTGTTCTTTTTGTTGCTTTTCAGCCTTACGAGGGAGAAAAGATAGAAAAGAAATAGCTCAAGAGGTCAACTACCTTAATGTGGAGATCTGCTAGTAAAAGGAATAAGAAAAGCAAGTTAAAAATTAGTTTTAACAATTTTTAAGGTGGAGGTCATATATTTACACTTATAGACTAGCAACTTAAGTTTTCTTGATTACTGATTAAAAAAATCCTATTCGACTAATATTTATTTAGTGAAATTCTACGAGATCAAAAACTTGTTCCAGTACATTTGCCACGCCTCATGATATAGTTCCAAATTCAAATGACAGTGAATTCAACAGAATACCCACAAATTAGAATGACTAACATTTTCTGTCCTATCCATTGGGCATGTGTAGACCTTATAAAAGAAGCAAAAGTATGGGCCAGGATATATAAAACATTTTCAAAGTATTATTTTAATATTTTTCCCACTTTATGAAATTCTCCTGTTATTAACAACCATTTCACAATTTGAAAGCTAAATGAAATGTATTATTAATACTTCCATGGGTTTTCACAGCAGTGCCTTTTACACCACTGTCACATGCATAATTATCTTGATAATTAAAATTAGCGGCAAACATCATTATTGTCAGATTTACAGAAGGGAGATAAGTGTTTACAGTTATATTACTTACTAATTTAAATCAATTAGCCATGAGCAGTAATGCATTTCTAATGCATATTCCTAAAGTCACACTTTTTCTCCTGTATAAATTTTAATACATCGGGATAATATAATTTTAATGTCACAGGGACTTTGAAATTACATTGTGATTTTCAAAAATTTATCATTTATTATTTTTAAATGTATTCCCAAAATATACAAAGAAATGAACATTAAGAAAACTAGTCTCTTCAAAGAAAATTGTGTATTTAATTATTTAAAATCCCAATCGCGGTTTTAATTAAAAAGAAATTATATTCTTTTAAATGTAAAAGAATGAAAAAAAAGTGTCCCCAAAAATTAGCCTGGAATTCTGCAAACCTTTGTACTTCACTGATGCCATGATTTTATAGTAGTTATTGTAAAAGCTAGAAACAAACAAATAAAACATTAAATCATGAGGTTTTTCCTTCCAGTGAGTTGCAAAAGACTGAGTAGTCACTAGTTGATTTTAAGATCCTTAAATTTAAAATAATCATCAGCAAGTGAATATCAAATATCAACTAATTTAAATTAAAGGAGAAAAATTATGTGAGGTATAAAGTATGACAAAAATGGATGGTTTATAAGAAACTTCAATTTTGGGCTAACTGAACATTAGTTTAAAATTTTGGTATATTAAATAATACTACAAAATGTATTAAGTTTGGGGTGAATCTGATTGAAAACAGACAATACAAAAACTGTTACAAAATATGAACAGGATCTTTTGAAATATCACTCCAAATGCTAACTGGTAGCATCTATGACTGTTTTCTATAAAACTTTATTTGGAGTGGAAGGTATTTCCTTAAGGGAGAAGCCACAGTGAATATCTACGTCAGTCTTCATCCTACAAGGGTTTTCTAAATCATTTAGCACCACCAGCTTGGTTCTGCTTTCAGTCAGGGATTGATCGCTTAGCTATAGATAGGAAGAGTACCACAGAGCACCTCAGAGCTGTCGAAAATCTGACCAGGTCCTCAATAACCCCAGTTACAACTTGTCTCATGAATGATAAAAGCACTTGACCTTAAAATAATGTACTTTAAAATCGAGTTTCTCCAGCAACAGGTTTCACACAACTCAGTTCATCATCTTGCCTGGTTTTGTTTTCAGATGATAATTCATATAAATTAATTTTACAGTTTGTCCCCAAGTTTAAAAGGAAAAGAAGAAATATTTCAGCTCCTTCATGACAGATTACTATTTTTTACTCTATTCTCTTGAAATAATTGACACTATTTCCCCAACTATATCCTCAGATTCCAGTGAATTAGATTTTCACGGCAAAACAAAACAAAGAAAACTAATAATATAATGGTGATATTATATGATCACCATCTTCGTCATCTTGCAAACTCTGGCACATCAACAACACATTTCAGCAAAATGCAGTTACAGTGAGCCAACTCACCTAAGCACTGGGACTTAGAAAGAAGGATTTAGAAATGCAGCCTTCTGATTCACCAGCAGAGGTAAAGGCCCCTTCTTTACCTAACTGACCTTATATAAAAGCAGCAGATAGGTTACTCCCAGTTTCTGCCTCCTTACCTTAGGCTCCGCCCCAAATACCAAAGCCTAAAGTACCACGGCTACGCACCACCTTGCAACCCCTACAGAGGGACCATGAGTTCTGTTAAGCACTCTGCCTCTGCCTATCTCAGGCTACAAAGAGCATGTGTGCACGAGTGGGAACCCTCAAAACCCTAACGCTCCCTATCCAAACACGGGGTGTGGGGGTGCATTCTCCATCCCAGGCTACTCTGGGGACTCCAGCCCACACCCCCAGACCCTCACTAGGTTCAGAGCCAGCAGAGCGCTTAGGCACCGGGGCTGGGTGACCCCAAGGGCAACCCTAGCTTAACTGTCACTATTATCACACAGCGACTGCCGCCGGGGTTCTGCGGACCCAGCAGTAGAACTCTACGGCCGCCGGATCGCCACGCAAGGGATCCCGAGTTTCTGCTCCAAAGTTTCCCTGGAGCCGCACCCGGACGCCTGCGCGCCTCGGCTGGGAGCTCGGAGGTCCCGGGTTTTCCCGTATCCCGACTCAGGGCAGCGCTGGAGGCACGCGCTCCTCTACCGGGGCTGGACCGCCGCTCGCCGGAGCGCCGCGGGTGCAGCCCGTGCCCTCCGCCGCTTCGTTTGCTCGCGCTCCTGCCAGACTTCTCTTCAGGGCGCGACCCTCAGTCTGGGACCTGTGAGCCCCCGTCCCCGCGGACCACCACCCCTTACTGGCGACCCCTTAGTCAGTCCGAGTCCCCTATGAGACCGAGCCTTCGCCCCGGGTCTCCTCACCCCCTGCCAGCCTTCAGCCACAACCCTCTTAGGTCCCGGACCCTTCAGTGCGTCCCCTCCCTCAACGTCCGCCGACCAGGCGGCCGCCCGGCACCCGAACTCTGACCTGCGGCGGTGGCGGCTTGGCGCCCCACTCCGGTGTCCAGGAGGCTGACCGAGCGCCGCGGGCGGCGGCTCTCCGCGGGCTCTGGCTCCGGCTCCGAGTGCGGTCGGCCCCGCCTGCCAGCGGCCAAGCGTGGCCGGAGGGGGGTGTGGGGACGCGGGGCGGCGGTCGTGCGGACGCACAGGCGAGAAGGGAGCTGCCGCGGCGTCCGCGCGAGGTGCCTTTTCTGAGCGCCTACTGTGTGCCCAGCCCTATTTGTTCCTCACAACCACCACTGGGAGGCGGCCCCGAGTGGTGCGAAGCTCAGAAAGATGCACCGGGTCACGTCGAGTAGAGCCCGCGCGGTGTGCTTTTCCGGAGCCCGGCAGCCGTCTCAGACCTGGGTGTTTCTCCCTTCTCACAGAAGTCTGCGAGATTCCCCTTTCCGCCCGCCCCCATTCTTCTTTTCAGTGACATTCTTTACCAGAAGATACTAAATCATACATAGAATCACCTGGTTTTTATCTGATATCCCAGTGGTGCGCACACTTTCAGCGACACCCATCCCCCTTTATGCATTTATAATTCACACCGGTAATCCTCAGTCATTTCACAGTGACGCAGTTTTAGTTTTAATCATTGAAGTCATTTCTAAAACTCATTAACAGAATTGCTTTAATTCTTAAACAGTGTTTCTTACACTGAGGGACCAGGACACATGGAGTGGGGTCGGGCGGGTTGGGTGAGACTTGGGGGAGGGAATCTCAAGTTTTCAAGTTTGAGAAACCGCTCAGAGGCAAGCTGCCTGGTAAATTGTGGGCCGCTTCTTCTGCCATTCCCTCCATCAGAACCCGTCCAAAGAGATTGACAGATTCCTGATCAGAAAGCCTATGGTCTTCTCTTAAGGCCTTTCTTTGCCGCCTTCTAATCTTATTTACTGAACATCCTGTTGTAGGCCTGGCCCTCCTTGGGGAGGAAAAGATGAGTCCCTGATTTCAAGAAGCTTATCAATTACCTGTCCATGATACTCTTCATTCCTTTAACATCTTTGTTGGGGATGCCTAGTTCTTTTCCTTCTAGTGCAGAAGGTACTCAGTTGTAGTTTGAAGTAAAGTTTTGTGAGAATCGATATCACTTAAGAGAAGGTCCAAAGTTTAAATCCATAAAATAAATTCATGTCTTTCCCGTTGTCGCCTAAAATAAGAGGTTAAGAGCCACAGTTCTACAGGGACTTCAGAGATTATTTTATGAACCATGAAAAAGCCCTGTTTCTTTGCCTGCCATTTAGATAGTCAGGTTGACATTGTTCAACATTCGATACTCAGGCATAAGAAGGGCTGCATGTATCCTACTTCTTGATTATTTCAGAGTTCCAATCCGCTTTGTTTTTAAGAACTTTATTGAGATATAATTTACGAAATCTGAAATTTAAATATTATACATGTACAATTCAATGATTTTTAGTTTATTGGCAGAATTGTGCCAGCATCACCATCATCTAATTTTAGAAAATTTTCATCAGTCCAAAAACACCCTCCTAATGCTAGGCAACCACTAATTTATTTCTGTCTCTATAAGATTTGCCTATTTTAGACATTTCATATAAATGGAGTCACACACAGTCTTTTATAACTGGTTTCTTTCACTTAGCATAATGTTTTTGAGGCTCACTCATGTTGTAGTACGTATCAGCATGTCATTTACTTTTATGATCAAGTAATATTCCATTGTATGAATATATCAGATTTTGTTTATTCATCACTTGATGAATATTTGGGGGTTATTTCCATTTTTTGGCTGCTAAGAATAATGTTGCTATAAACATTCATGTACAAAGTTTTGTGTGGACATATTTTACATTTCTCTTAGGTATATACCTCAGAACAGAATTTGTGTCACATAATAATTCTATGTTTAATTCTTATGTTTAATTTTTAAAGAACTGCCAGTTTGTTTTCCAAAACAACTGCACTATTTTTATATTCCCATCAGCCATATATGAAGGTTCTGGTTTTTCCACATCCCTGTCATCTGTCTTTTTTATTTTAGCTAACTTAGTGGGTGTGAAGTAGTATCTCCTTGTGGTTTTCCTAATGACTAGTTATACAAGTATCATTTCATGTGTTTATTGGCCATTTGTGTATCCTCCCCATGGAGTCATTTGAACCTAAATATTTTTTAAATTTTGGTGAAATCCAATTTATTTTTTTAAAGATGTTATTTATTTATTTCTAGAGAGGAGAAGGGAGGGAGAGTAAGAATCAATGTGCATTTGCCTCTCTTGCGCCCCCTACTGGGGACCTGGACTGTAATCCAGGCATGTGCCCCAGATTGGGATTTGAACAGGCAGGATCCTTTGATTTGCAGGCCAACACTCAATCCATTGAGCCGCACCAGACAGGGCTATTTTTTTCTTTTGACATTGTATCAATACCTTATCCAAAGCAATTTACTCCTAAATTTTCTTCTAAGACTTTTATAGATTTAGCTCTCACATTTAGGTTTGTGATCCATTTTGAGTGAAATTCTTTTATTGTGTGAGGTAGCGGCTTATCTGCTTTCACCAGGTAGGTTCTAATTCAACAACATTGATTGAAGAGAATACACTGCAGTGAACTCAGAGGTGGTGCAGCCTTTTAGAGTTGATCTGAATACTTTCTAAATTCCCTTCTAGATACAAAAATGTTGTAATTTTTAAAAAGTGATCCATAGTTAATGAAGCCTACAAACGTAAGGAGTTAAGCAACATAAATAGAAACAGTATAAATCTGTATTTTAAACTTCTGGTCTTGATTCATTGGTAACTTATTAAACTCAAGTTAGTGGGTCAAAACTAGTATATTTTTATGTCAAATAAAACAGAACAGAACAGAAACTATCAGAAAGCACCTCTCAAATTAAATTAAGTATTGCCTCATAACTTTTGTGTTATTCATATTTGTGCACTTGTGTTTACCAAGAGTTGGTATAAAATGTGTTTCTCACTGTGAGCCACATTCTAAAAAGTTGCAAAAACACTATATAAACTACAGTTGCAGAGTTCTTTCATTCCACAAACATTTATTAAGTACTTATTTTATGCCAGGCCTTCTGCTAAATGTTGGGGATAAAATGATAAACAGTACACAGTCTCCAACTTGCAACAGTGCACATATGCATTTGGATCCATATGTAGTTTCTGAAGACAAAAGATTGTGCCTGGGTTCATTTTCCCCGACTAGAAGGACTCCTTCCAAATATTGATGTTTGGTCTTGTGGCACTTATTTTTATGCAATTAATATTCAATCGTTAATCTCATTTGAGATTTGCCAATGTATTTGCTTTTCTTCCAACTAGGGGAACTTTGTTCCCAGGTTCATAATTGCAAATGTTCATTATATTGGGTAAGAAGTATAGGACTAGTAGTGGGAGTTGGTCATAACTAAATTGATCCCCATTTTACTCTAACTATACTTAAACTATCTCCACATCTGGTATTTTAAAATTCTGGTATATTACTTTTTAAGGGAAAAATTTTAAATCATAACAAAAATTTTATTTTCCAAGCCTTCAACCAAACAGTGTTGGCATTAATAAGGATATGTAGCCATTTTGCAGATGAGTTTAGAAAATGAATGTGCTGTTTCTAGTCATCCAATCAAGTCACTTATTTGCAGCAGCTGTGTACAATCATGGCTCTGGCATTTGCTCCTCCTCTTTATCTGAGATAGCATTTATTAGTCTATAGGCACCATAAATTCTCAGGGGATTTATAAGATCTTAATTTAAAACTTTAAAAAGTGCAACCAGTTCAACATGCTGGACAGGTTAAACACACATTGTGTTCCCACACATGATTTTTAAATCTAGCTATGAAATTTTACCTGCAACTTTAAATACTATTAAGGTCCTTTTCTTTCCTCCTCTCCCTATCCCTCACCTTACCCCTCTTATCTTACCCTTCACCAAATGATTTGCCTATTTGTTATAAAGTCTTAAGTACTAAAGCAAAGCTTGTAACTCATTTCTTTTGGCTTCAAATAACTCGATCTTTTCACTCTACCTCTCTGCTTAATTCAGCATTCTATTTCTGTTTTGAGTGGTTGCCTACAAATAAAAGGGTTTTTTCTGGAACACTTTAATAAAAGTTAATATTTATTATATACAAATCACTATATTACAATAATATAGTTATTATTGATTCAAAATAAAAAAAACATGGACATATACCCAAATTAGTATTTCATTTTCTATTAATATGCCAACTTGAGCTTTCTTCTAGATAATTTGGAAAACTTGAAAGAGACATAATTTTAAGACTCTTTCTTCAATACACTTTTCTTTAATATGGAATGAAATTGCTCCCTATTTTTGACAATATTTCATCTTTTATAATCTGTGAACACCATAATGATATTTAATTCCAAGAAATTTCATTCATTAGGTTCAGTAGTTTTGAGTTAGACTATTCAAGTTTTAAGGTTTTAATGGTTTGAAACATCTTTTAAAGTTTCAAAAATACTTCTGACTTTCAGGGGATAAAAAAGAGGTCATTTTTGTCTTGCTTCATCAATATTTCTCTACTTTCCCCTTCTAAAAATTGACCAGTTTTGTGTATCAGACCTCTAACTAACAAGAGGTAGGGAGTAGAGTAAGCAGATGGTGGGAGAACAAGCACTCCTGGTCACATTGGGGTAGTTTGCAGAACAGGAAAGCTGTCCTACTTTCTATTTGTCTTTTCCTTTCAAGAGTTTTGATAGAATTAAGTACTGGTAGAATGGAAAGAGTGTTGAGACCTTTATCTCTGCTCATTGTGACCTTGAGCAGGAAACTCACTCTCTCTGAGGCTTAGCTTCCTCATCTACAAAATGAAAACATATCTTCATAATCTTATTGATGAGATAACATGGGGAAATGCCAAATCTTAGTAGGTACCCAATAAATGTTGTTTATTAAATGGGTGAAAGCATTGAGAATGTTTTTTTTCTGATAGTCAATCACTAATAGAGCAAAGCCCAGTTTGGCTGCTAAATGAAGAGGTTTTTTAAATATATGCATCATATTTAGCCATCAGTCTACACGGCCACTCTACTATCTGTCTTGCATGTAAAAATGTTGACTACTATAACAGATTTTGAAATAGCTATGGACCCCAGATTCCCGGATGAGAATGGTTTTCTCAGGATGCCCGTATAAATTTATAGGTCCTAGGCTTGCTGCATAAAACTGAACCACAAAAATTTTTGTGATAGAAAACATTAGACCAATATAGAAGTAGACAAAATACTATAATGACACTCCTCCCCAGCCACCCTACCTACATAACTATCCACCCCCACTATACTCATAACCCAGTGTCAGTTTATGGTCAATTTTG